AGAGAGAGAGAGAGAGAGAGAGAGAGAGAGAGAGAGAGAGAGAGAGACCAAGTGAGGTCAAGAGCGGCCTCTGGTGGACACAATTAGATATTGCAAGAGGTGTATACCAAACCTTTTCCATCAATCTTGTCCGATGACAATGAATCTTCTCTGACTTTATCTCTATCCCTTTATCCCTCTATCCCTCTATCCATCTATCTATCTATCTATCTATCTATCTATCTGTAGTCTATCTCTAATATCTATATCTGTATCTATAACTACATCTACATATCTACATAAATCTATTGATATTTAGATCAATATAGATAATAGAGATATGGATATATACATGTCCAACCTCAATTGGAGTTAACAAATTAGATTTTGAGATAGTATCTCACTTTGTAGCTCAGAATGACCTGGGGCTTACAATGTAGACCAGGGTAGCCTCAAAATTGTACCAATCCTTCTGCCTCAACCTCCAAAGTACAGAGACTACTAACAGCCACCATACTAAGCAATAAATTATATTTCAAAGAAAAAAATCTCATGTATCTCATTTTGGTGCATCTAGAATGCAATCACTCTGATCAGCAAGAGGCCCTAAGACATGTCATTTATCCTAAATAGAGGTCTCTGGATTGGACATTGTAGCTCAGTAGCACAGCGCTAGTCTAGGATGTTTGAGTCTCTGGGTTTCGTCCCAGCACTGAAAACAACCATCAACAAACAACTCTTCCTCCAGTCAGACTTCTTCATCCTTGCATGACGGTGTGAGCAGAAACACTTGGTCAATTATAAAATGCTGTGCACTAGTGAAGAGCAGGTGTGAGTCACACTGCCTTCTGTACTCACACTAGTGACCAGGCTTGACTACAGACAAGGTCCCTAGTCAGTCCCCATGTGGAAATCACAGAGCAATGGGCAACCTTGGCTCCACCCCACTTCTGAGACCTCACTGTCTATCTCCAGGGCTTGGTTCTGAGGTAAGTGTCATGTGGTAGCTCCCAAAGAGTTGACACATGGACACTGTCCCCACTCTGGGCCATCGAGGGGGTTAAGTGTCATTGAAAGCAGCTACCCTCAAGAATAGGAAGTTCTTCTGACTTCTCCTGTTCTCAAGTGTCAAATAGATACAGCAAGGTGTGGAGGGGCTGGTTTGCTGGGGCCTGTGGTCAGGACATGGTCACCTATTGAAAATGATACAAGTTGCTTTATTTCAGTTATGTGAAGTCCTGTTAGAAAAAGAAGACAACAAAACAAAAAACAAAACAACAAAAAGAACCCGCAAGAACCAGGGGCTAGAGAAATGGTTCAGCATTTAAGAACACTGGCTGCTCTTCCAGAGAACCCAGGTTCAGTTCACAGCAATCCCATGGAAGCTCACAACTGTCTGTAACTGCAGTTCCAGGGGCATCCATAACACCAGGCATGCATGTGGTGTGAATATATATATACACGAATGCAGGCGATACCCGTACACATAAAAAATATAAATCTTTACAGAAAACAAAACAAAACACCCTGAAGCCTCAAGATCCTAAGCATGCTGGGACAGAGCTCAAGGACAGTGTCCACCTATTGTACACAATGGGTTCCAATCCTAGCACTATAAAGAAAAAAAAAGTCCCACTTCAGCCAGTCTAAGAACAGAATGACTTCATCCATTCATTGCACTTTCCCATGAGCAGACAAGCTTCCCTGAGCTTAGCATAACCAGAATTAGTCCTTAGCTGGACTAATCCTCTGCCAGGTCTTGCTTTGCTGAGTTGAGCTCAGACCATATCAAGTTGAGCTCTGAGAGTCGGCAGGCAAGGCCAGGCAGGCGGATGAGAGATCAGCTGCCCTCCCTCCCCTCCCCTGCCCTCCCCCCGCCTCCCACCCCCACCCCTCCCAGTCAGTGTAAAGCAGCGCCATCTCCCGGGCATCAGCAATACCCGAGATGCCGCTGAAGAGCGATGTGCTCCCCTTGTGGTTTATACTCTGTAGCGGGCCTCTCCCTGCCGGATTTATGACCACCTGTCCCAGGAAGAGCATAAATCACTATATCCGTGACACTTTAAATCTCAGGGAGAGATAGGAGAAGACACCTAGGCCGGCAGCACTGTCTCCCTGGGTATTAGAAGCAATTAGGGCCCGATGGCTGGGCTGTAAGAAGCCTGCAGAAGATCAGGATGTGAGTTTGGGCTCCTGTGATCACCCCCACGCTGCCCCTTCCTGCCCTTACTCTGTGTTTTGGGTCCATTACTCTTTCTACAAACATAGCCTCCCAAGGGAGGGGCTCTGACAGTGCAGAGAACCAGCCCCAGTACCCAGAGTGCTTGAGAAGGAAATGGGTCTGCAATCACGTGAGCCTTTCAAAACCAGAGAGAAAGGAAGTCTGAGATCAGGCAGTGTGTGTGTGTGTGTGTGTGTGTGTGTGTGTGTGTGTGTGTGTGAGAGAGAGAGAGAGAGAGAGAGAGAGAGAGAGAGAGAGAGAGAGAAAGAGAAAGAGAGAGAGATGACAGCCAGCTCCCGAGTCTTTTATCTGACCTACACGTTGACTCATCTAAGTTTTCCTCATCTCTTATTTTATGAGTATCAGAGCCATGTCTAGTGATACAAGCCTATATAGTCCAAGCTACCCAGGAGACAGAAACAGGAGAATCACAAGTTCAAGGCTTACCAAGTCCAAGGCAGCCTGGATGTCTTAGGGAAACCCTGCCTCAAAACAGAAAGGAACGGCTGTGTAAAAGCGCTTGCTGCTCTGACAGAGAGTCCGGGTTCGGTTCCTGGCTCCCATGTGGTGACTCACAACTGTCTACAACTAGAGTTCTGGGGGATCTGACACCCTCTTCTAGCCTATGTTGGGACCATATACATATAAGCTATACACAAATATATATAGGTAAACACTCATGTAGCAGCAGAAGAAGGAGGAGAAAAGGAGGAGGAGGAGGAGGAGGAGGAGGAGGAGGAGGAGGAGGAGGAGGAAGAAGGAGGAGGAGGAGGAAGGAGGAGGAGGAGGAAGGAGGAGGAGGAAGGAGGAGGAGGAGGAGGAGGAAGGAGGAGGAGGAAGGAGGAGGAGGAGGAAGAGGAGGAGGAAATTTAATAAGAAGTGAAAAAGACGGCAGGGGACAGAGCTTGGTGGCAGAAGAGCTGCCAAACATTCGCAAGGTCCTGGATTCAGTCTCTAGAACCTAAAAACAGAAAGACTGAGGGCCTGGCCTACGGAGACTTCCTGACAGTAACAACATTGCAATGCTTGAGTCTCTTTCCACTGCCCAGCCTGTCTTCCTCCTTGCTGTATCTTCCCCATTCCATGGAAAATAAAAAGACTAGATTCTCCACTGCTCTGATGGTAAACAGATATAAATAAGATCTGTAGCGTGTCACCATTTCTATCCCAAAGCCTGCTCCTCTGGGGTATTTTGCTTCACATAGTGACATTTCCCACAGTGCCTTATGGGAGCCCCTATCCCACACCACCCCCATTACTCTCTGGAGATACCTTTCAAGACCTCCCATGGGAACAGAAAACTATAGGCAGTATGGAACCCCGGGGCGTACTGTCTTTTTTCTGTATGTACCAACTATCTAGTGGCCAGGACTCCCTAAAGCTCCCGTTCTGCATGAGTGTACTGTTTCCTCTGTTTCCCCTTACAAATATTAATAAACATGGCTCCTGAAACTCCCAGACCCCTGGATGAGACCCCACGAGCCTGGTTTTACCTTTTCAGTGTTTCCAGAGGCTCCTTCTTATCCGTGCTGCCAGTGTCTGGATCCACCGTTGTTAAAAGGCACCTGGACGCACACACAAAAAAAAAGCATTGCACAGGTAACAAAGAAGAGAGACCTCGCCCCTCCCCCCGCCTCCAACTTGGTCCCCCGCCCCACCCCACCCTGCCCCCAGGACAGGAAAGGGTCTCACCGGGTGCAAGCCATCACCCGTCTCAGTTCCACATCTCCAATGAGAAGCTCGTTCCAAGAGTCCTAGAAAGTGAAGAACAAATTTCCAGGAGCTCCTCTGGGCACTGCCCTGTGCAGGGACTTGTGGGGAGTCATACCTAATAATGTCATTGCATCAGAAGTGCTGGGCTTCACCTCAGTCCAGAGGGAACAGTGGACACCACACATCTGTCTTCCTAAGCAACGTCCATCCTCTCTCCTCTTTGAAAGCTTATCCACACATGACATCCTAAGTTGGACCCCCAGCTCTGAGAATGATGTCACACATGACACCCTAGGTTGGACCCCCTAGCTCTCAGCATGATGTCACACATGACACCCTAGGTTGGACCCCCTAGCTCTCAGCATGATGTTACACACCTTTAATCCTGGCACCTGGAAGGCAAACTAGCAAGTTTGTTTCAGCACAGACAGGGTTGTTACACAGGGAAACCCTGTTTAAAACAAACAAAAAGTCTGTGCATTGCTCTTGCAGAAGACCAGCATTCAGTTCCCAGCACCCGTGTCAGCCAGCTCACAACCACCATAATGCCAGCTCTAGGGAATCAGAAGCCCTCTTCTGGCCTCCAGAGGCACCTGCATTTGCATGCATATACACGCCCCACATATATATAGTTAAAATAAATCTATTTATTTAAAAGAAGATTGCCATTTATTATTATTATTGTGTGTGTGTGAATGGGTGTGAGGGATGTCACGGTGAGTGGTCAGTATCTTATGAGCGGAACCCTCTTACGGGCTTAGTATGGCCATTTTGAGAGACAGAAGACTATTGAGCAAAGCAGTCACATTGAAAAGCATAAGAGCTCCCACAAGGCCCCTGGGAGCTTGTTCCTTGCCTCTCTAGGGTTCAAGAAAGAACACTTTATAGTCCAGACATGATGATGTCTCAGACTCTGACCTAGCAGGTGGCCAAGAACTGAGAATCACAAGGCAAATGTATGTGACTGGGCCTGGGAGGGGCAGAGCAGAGGGAAGAGACAGGAGCAAATTTTGAGTGCCAAGTTCAGTGAAAAAGTGCTCTGCCCCAAGCAGATGCTGGCAAGTGAAAAGGGCTCTGCCTGAGGGCAGCCTGGGAGCACGCATCTTCTTTATCAACAGAACTGAGCCCTTCAGAGAGAGTCCTGGCCTGTACATACCTAAGGAGTGACAGGTGGAACACTGCAGGATTGGTGCAGATTGTTGAGAATTGCCGGGGGAAGGGGATGGAGATGGAAAGGGGAGGGGAGGGGGAAGGGAGGGGGCGGGAGAGGGAAAGACTCAATGGCTCTTCTAGGCCGAACAGGCACAGGAGGATTGTCACTGAGACAGTCTCAGAACATCAGTTGTTGCCTTTTGTCAAGCTGATTGATGACTGACACAGTCTGTACATAGGGCCCGTTCTCACAAATGAACAGAAGCAACACAGTCACCGTATAAGGGTGCGTGCAGTTCACACACTGCGCAGACACTCTGCCATCTTCAGAGGAATGTTGTGGCAGGACCTTTGATCACACTGCCAACCTCAAGACCTTGTCGTTTACTGGAAAAACCTGTTTCTTGTTGTGGTGCCGCTCGGCCTCAGCATACACACATTTAATCCCTCTGACTGGAACGCACATGCTCTTAGCACACATCTTTAATTCCAAACAATGAAGGTAAAGTTAGTTTGTAGGAGGAAGCACCCATGTTTGAAAGTGATCTTCTTCATGAAAGTGATCTGCCTTCATGACAGGTCAGGCAGAGTCAATGTCAAATGAGTGACAGACAAAGCAATGAAGGAGAAAGATTTGACAGAATATTATACACGCCACTCTCACAAGAACAGAGAAAAAAGAGAGACTACTTCAGAGAGAGCTGCAGGGAGAGAGGAGGCAGTTTTGCTGGGAGGGTTTTACAGAGAGAGGCTGAAGAGAGAATGAGCCAGAGAAGGAGAAGGAGCAAGAAGATTAGAACAGATTAGTTTGAGGCCAAGCAAAGCAAAAAGTCAGAGGGCAAGAGAGAAGCCAGATTAAACCAGTCAGCTTGCAGAGGGGTTTGAGCCAGAACATCTGAGTTGAATCAGTCAGCAAGAGATCAGAAAGAACCAGGAAGGAGTGAGCAAATTCAGCAGCAAGTCTGAGAGGCTGACAATATTCTGGGCCTAGATTAGACTGTACAGAGGCTAGAAGCTTCCAGGACTAGGTTCAGGTTAGCAGACTGAGGCATTAAGCCTCTGAGATGACAATTGCATCAGGTGACTAGAAGTTACCTTTACAGGTACTTCTACCTGTACATGTTTGAACCTGAGAGTATGCAAGGAGTATGTTATACAAAACATCAGAGATGAGTTAGCAAGATGGCTCACTGGTAAAGACACTTGCCAATCAAATCTGAAGACTGAAATTCAATCCCTAGAAGCCACAACACTTCAGGAGAGAGCCAATTTCCACAAGTTACCCTCTGACTTCCACACATGCACAGAATATATACACATACAAATAAATAAAATGTATCAGGGGTGTATGTGTGGGAATAGAATTCCTAGATCGCTCTTTTCCCATCATTCCTTGTTCATCTCCCACAGCAAAGCTAAGAGACAGAATTAGTTTCCCTCATCTATGAGGTGAGAACTCAATCACTTGGCAGAGGTAAAGGCCTCTTTCTAGTCTCCTCTGCGTTACCCTTTCTACATATATACAAAAGGTATGACCAGAAGTAAATTCCTATTTGCAGGCTGATATCTCTGCTGGGTACCCACAGATGGCCTTAATCACCAAGCCCCCAAGCCAAGACTTCTTAAATGTTTTTCCATTCATAACCACTTTTAACCTGAGAAATTTTTATGTAGTTCCCCAAGCATCCATTAATACAAAATAGGTACAGTTTTCAAACATTTGTTGATAATAAATCGTAAAAACTATTTTTAAAACCATTCCTGAGAGCACTGACCGTTTAGTCATTCCCCAAAGACTGAAGTGAAGTCTGTATGATAATCACATGAATGTGTCTGACAAAATAAAAATCCAAAGAAATTCTGACTGGCTATGTGCTGAAGCAAAGGTAGAAAAGTATTACCTTTGTTTTCTACTACGAAGCCACTATGTTGTGCCGAAACTTTGTATGCACAATAAAACCAGCACAACTCATAACAAACAAAAGTCTGGAATCTGAGCCAAGGTATTGCTTGCATTACATGGCGTGATGGTTCGCTCAAAGTGCACCTGTCATGTGTCCAGCACCAAGGCTGAAGCAAAATCACGTGATACAATATGGGCAAGCACTGCCAGAAGCACATCAGATTCATTGTGTGGCTGTGAGTTGTTTCACGTTCATTCCTGTATCCGTTACTTTTCTATTGCTGTGATAAAACACTGTGACAAAGCAACTTATAAGAAAAACCATGTATTTGGGCTTATTCCAGAAGTTAGAGTCTGGGCTGGAAGAGCAAAAGCACAGCAGTGGGAACAGAGAGCTGAGATCTCACATCTTGAGCCACAAGTACAAACAGAGAGAGCCAACTTGAATGTCACTAGGTCATAGGTCCCAAACCTACCCAAACAATGACATCAACTGGGGACTAGCTATTCAAATGCCTAAGTCCACAAGAGACATCTTCTGAAACCACCATTGGTGCTGTTCCACATTCTTCATGATCCTCACATTCGGTTCTGTCCTGACCAGCATCTTCCTTCATGACAGATCAAGCAGAGTCAAAATGAACATCCAAAGGTTATCACAAAAATAAGTCAGCTGCTAGGGCCACATGGGACACTAGAAACCAGCATCATAGTTCTCTACGTTGAAGTACAATGTGGGACACCTAAGAGCCCGAGGAAGAAGCCCCTGGAAGTGTTAGAGAATGGCACCATCAAGCTGGGAAGTGTTCCACCCCTATCAGTTGCCATGCTAAACATGCTAACATTCTAGTCTTCCTCAAAGGAGTCACCAGCTAGGCAGAAATTGGGTGAGGCAGCAAGACAAAACAAGCATTTTGTTTGTTCCAAGACCATGTAGCCCATGCTGAGTAAATGTAACTCAACGGTCAATCTGTCTACCCAGGATTCTCCCCGTAAGCCTCAGCCTCACCCATGTGTGTCTTCCATACATGAACCTTCACTTCTTAGCTGCCCAACAAACCTACAGATGGAGTCATCGTGCAGAGACAACTCCTGGCAATAGTTGAGTCCAATATAAATAATTGTTTTGCTTTTCATTGTTGTTATTTTGAGAAAGGGTCTTACGTAGTTCAGGCTGACCCTGAACTCATTGTATAGCTCAGGCTGGCTTTGAACTCCTAATCCTCCTGTCTCTACTGCCATTGCATTGATTACAGTTATGGGCCTCCTGGCAATAACTATTACATCTTTCATAAAATAAAAAGAGAGAGGCTATTCAGGCCAAATGTTACCTCAGCATAAGCACCACATCCCGAGATGACAATATTAGGCCTGAAGTTTGTTGCTTTCACTCTTCTTTCCAGCCTGGAGTTGAGATCTTCCAAGGATGCCTCAGAGAGGACCAGGTATGGACTGGCATCTGAGTAGGCCACCTGACAAGGAAGCAGACATTGGATACAATGTGGCCCGTAAGCCTCAGACCTCGCAGCAGCAGCAGCAGCAGCAGCAGCAGCAGCAGCAGCACCTATGTGCATTCTCCATACAGAAGCCTTCCTTCTTAGGTGCTCATAGGGGACATCCTGGGTCTAGTCCCTGAAAATTCAGCCCCCACACCCCAACACACACATCTTTGTAACTATATTTCTAGTTCTTTTCATAGACATGTCACAGCAATTCAAATCTTAACAGTACTACATGACATAAAGGGGTCTCAGAGAACACTCCACAGTTAAGAGCACTGGTTATTCTTGCAGAGATCTGTGATTCAAGTCCCAGCACTCACATGGCAGCATACAACCATTTTAACTCCAGGTCTAGAGGATCTGATGCCCTCTTCTGGCCTTCATAGGAACTGCACATATGTGGCACATAGACTTTCAGGCAAAACATGCATACCTATAAAATTTTGTATTTTATGCATGACTTTAGAGTCCTACATCACTATATATCTTCCCTTAAAGACATCACTTTAGTGGGAGAGATGACTCAGCGTGGTCCTGAGTTCAATTCCCAGCAACCACCTAGTGGCTCACAATCATCTGTAACAGGATATGATGTCATCTTCTGACGTGTCTGAAGACAGCTACAGTGTACTCATATACATAAAATAAAGAAACAAACAAACAAATCTTTTTAAAAATACAAGACACTCAATTTGGGGGGCTGGAGAAATAGCTCAGAAGTTAAGGGCACTGACTGCTCTTCCATAGATCCTGAGTTCAACTCCCAGCAACCACATAGTGGCTCACAACCATCTTTAATGAGATCTGGTGCCCTCTTCTGGCATGCAGGGATACATGTGAGCAAAATATTGTATACATAATAAATAAATAAATCTTTCAAAAAAAAAGGATATCACCTTTCTAAGCATCTATTTTCTTAGTGTTTAATAAGGTGACAAGTTCAATGGGTTCATTATTTTGAGAAAATGTTCACTTTTTCTATAGGTACCTATCTTTATGCAACCTCCAATTTAATATGAAGCATGAATGTCGGCCCTTATTGTTTTAACATTAAAGTTGTCTGTAGTGCTACTGCCCTACATCATGAGTAGGTATACCCTACACCACCACTTGCAGTCTGACACACCATTGTAAGAAAGCTAAAACATTTGGACTACACTGTTACAGAATCGATTGAAAGTGAAAACGCTGCATAATAAATAGTATTGGGTCCCTACAGGCACCAGAACGCTTACAAAAAGTAAGCACAGATAATCCCAGAAATCTTAGGAAGGAGAGAAAAAAATCAGCTGGGGCCATGAGGCCGGGGTGTCAGCTAGGGGGAGGGGCTTGTCTCTCTGGAAGAGACTTCACACATTTCTGACCACTTTTGGGAGAGACTGGAGCCTAGATAACAACAGCGGGCAGGCCTTCCTGCTCTGCATACCTTGGCCCTCTATTTAAAAGCCTGGTTCAAGAAGATTGCCAGGGCTCAGGCTGTGAGCACAAATGCTTTCTTTCTGTCTATTGCTTGGAGTCCCTGGAGCCTGGAGGTTGCCATGAAAACCATAGCATTTAGCATACCAGGGATGTGTCACGTGTGGGGAAACCCACAACAACTTTTTTCCACCCTCAGACCACACCAAGTCTCTCTCAAGCCTTTTACCTGGTCTGTGGGCCCAAACTCAGCCCTCATTTGCTGAGAATTTCTGGGGCGCATGTGTGGTTCAAAGTGCACCAGGCGACAGGACTGGGTCTTCAAGAAGCTGCTGACCCACTGAGCTGCATCCTCTCCACAATCCCTGCCCTGAACCTCCAGGCCATGCACTCTGCAGTGGGGACAGGGCAACAGGGAGGGACAATTTGGAGGCTCTGAGTATTGTTAACGCCGTATTCCTGAGTGAGTCAGAACGCTGCTGCATCAGTCCAACTGTGACACTGCTGGCATTCTTTCATTGCCCGACGACTTTACTTTCAGCTCAGTCCTGCCTCAGAGCAACTGTATAAACCCTAGTGACATTGATAGTGCTTTTGAAACCTTACCTTTCCTGTTTGTTTGTTTTTTTGTTTGTTTGTTTCAAGACAGGGTTTCTTTGTGTCCTGAAACTTGCTCTGTAGACCAGGCTGTCCTTGAGCTCAGCAATCTGCCTGCCTCTACCTCCCGAGTGCTGGGATTAAAGTCTTGAGCCACCTTTTCCCATTTGTAAAAGCAACTGAAAGCATACCTGTGTCTCCCTACCCAAAAGATGTGTGTAGAGGGTGAAGGGAGGTAATAGGTTTGAACGTCTTCAGAAGAACTGAGCAGGCTGGGAGAATGCAGCTAGGGGGCTGGCTCAGTTAGTATGAGAGTGAGAACTCAAATACCAGAGTCTATTGGGGATTGGTTCTAATGTTTTGTCTTGATCCGGCTCCAAAAATCACACAGGAATCTATGTGTCCAGATGCTGAGGGTCCTCGTCCCCAATTGGTTTTTGACTAATCTAATGGCTCGGCAGAGTGAGAATTGGGACTTTTAGGATTCCTGGGCAAGAAATGCAGGGGGGAAGAAAAATTCTGCCATGAGAAGAGTGTAGGACAGACCATGTACCATGAAGGAGCAGAAAGGTCAGACTTCAGAGCCTACCAACATGTAAGAGTACAGGAAAGTGGCCCCAGGGTTCACTCTCCCATTGGGGTAGCAGAGATGAAACAGATTTTAAAAGGTGATAACTCAGGAGTATTGGAGGGGAAAGTGGGTTAGCCAGACGGAGTTAGGGAGAAGCCCAGTGATTGAGCTGGTAAGGCATATCAAAAATAATGCTGTGTGTGTGTGTGTGTGTGTGTGTGTGTGTGTGTGTGTGTGTGTGTGTGTCTTTCATTCAAGAATCCAGGGAACTCTGGTGGGTGACAAGACATGCAATCACCTGCCTGGAGCTCAGAGCAGACTAACAGTTTACCGCTACACCCACAATCAGTCACCTGAGAGCCTCAAGTGAGGAATTGTTAATTTATATAGGAATACCCAGCTCATTGTGCTTGAAAGAGACAGAGACAGAAATAGAGGGAGACAAACACAGAGAGTTTGAGACAGAGAGACAGACGCAGAACAGGAGACAAAGAGACAGACAGAGATAGAAAGACAGAGACATAGAGGCATAGAGGCAGAGAGACAAAGACACAGAGAATTTTTAGCAGTAGTAGGGCTTGAACCCAGGACTTTGTGCATGCTAAGCAAACACTCTACCATGGACCCACATCTCTATTCTTTTTACTGTTCCTTCATTTTTTCAGGTGGGGTCTACTGAGTAGCCTAGGCTCCTTTTGAACTTATGATCCTTCTACCTCAGCCTCCCTCCTGCTGGGATTACAGGCCTGACTAAGATGGATTCATGGGTATTTGTTTATTTTTTTGTTTTTTTTTTTTAAGACAGGTTTTCTCTGTGTAGCCCTGGCTGTCCTGGAACTCACTATGTAGACCAGGCTGGCCTTGAACTTAAAGAGATTTGCCTGCCTCTGCCTCCCGAGTGCTGGGGCTCAAGGTGTCCGCCACCACACCCAACTCATGAGACATATAAATTTAAAATGCAGAAACGATAACAAAAACATAATTAAGCCAAATCATTTTCCCACAATGAGAAAAAGGATAGTCAGCTACAGTTTCTTAGCTGCTAAGGCAGGCCCCAGAGCACCTCCCTTCCCGCAGCCTACCAGCGTCAGGGCTCGGGAGGCGGGCTTATGTACCAACAGCTCAAGCAGTGCCCTCCTTCCTCCAACTGAACACAGGACACCTCCTCAGTTACCGCTGCTCTTTATCACTTTGCAACGTCCCCACTTCGAACTGAATATCATATCTAATAGGGCATCATTACCAGAGCCCTTTGCAAGGACAGTCCTGGGACAGATTACAGGGTTACCCCTCTTCTAGAACACCCTGCCTCCCTGTACCCAGTTTTGTCCTGGATTCTCTGGTGGGATTATTTTTCTCTTAGCTTCATGTTCAATGTGTTTTGGTCCCCATTGCTTTCTACATAGAACTTTAATTAACTAATTTATGTTTAATTAACTAATTTATGTCTAAGTTGGGGTTCAAACCCAGAGCTTCGAGCATGCTAGGCAACTGTTCTACCACTGCGCCACATCCTCAGCTTGCTACACTGGGCTTTTGTATTCCTTGTTCCCACCCAGCTTTTGAAGCTACTTCCTGTTTCTCCTCTCATGATGCAGAGGGCTGAACGCTTAGAGTCCTGGGCAATCAATAGCTAACTGTTAACAGTGCAGTTTCTGGAGCCTCTCCACTGTTCACGCATCTTCAGAATTGCAAGGGCGTATGCACAATCTGGGTTTTAATATAAATATATGTGCCCGTGTGTGTATCTATAAGATATGGAAGTAAAAGAGGGTCTGTGCATGGGGAGAAAGCAGTCTAACAGAAAATGGGGGATGCAAAATATCTCATGTTTTCTGTTTTATTTAGAGTCTAGATTTAACTATCTATCTATCTATCTACCTACCTACCTACCTACCTATCAGGGTTTCATGTAGCCCAGGCTGGCCTCAAATTCACCATATAGCCAAAGATGATCCTGAACTTCAGCTCTTCCTGCCCCTACCTCTTCAGCACTGGAATTACAGATGTGTATCATCATGCCTAGATTATGTAGTATTGGAGAGTAAATCCAGGGCTTCATATATGGTATGGTATGGTATGGTATGGTATGGTATGGTATGGTATGGTATGGTATGCAAGTACTGGACCATCTGAGTAAATTCAAAGATCTATACATCTATACATATGTTATATGAAATATTGAGACAATAATTTGAGGGGAAGAAGGGACCAGTGAAGGAGTAAAGGACAAGAAAATACAGGGCTAGTATGAGGAGCATGGTACAGTGTGTGTGTGTGTGTGTGTGTGTGTGTGTGTGTGTAAATGGCATAATGAAACCCATCTTTTATTTCATAAGCTAACTGAAAACTTAAACAACTAAAGGCTAAAGTTAAGAACACTGCATGCGTATTTGGTCCACAGGCCAGAGGCCTGCTCTACTCACCTGCACTGGAGGAGTGGGTTTGTGGCAGGTGGGGTGATAGGCAGCAACAGGTCCTTTGTGTAGGCTGCACTGAGAGTCAAGATGTCGTCCTCACAGGTCAGAGAAATCAGGACCATTCGAGGCTCCTGCCGGGCAGTGACCATGTTCCCCTCTTCATTGATCACGAGCCAAAACCTGACATTGGCAAAACACAGGCTCCATGGAAACCAGCACAGGCAATCTCAGAGACGGGGTGGGGGTGTCTGTCTGTCTGTCTGTCTGTCTGTGTGTCTCCTGAGCATTGCCTTGGCAATGAACAAGACTGAGGCCTGACACCGTCTGCTCATTTTAAAGGAGTCAATAACCACTCAAGAGTCAATGTATAACAGATGGAATATTTGCCAGGACTTGATCTTATTCATTAAGCGTGCCCCAAGAAGATAAGAACCCACTTCACAGCCAGCCAGAGGGTCACGGGGAAGCAGTGAGCTCTCAGGGGCAGAAAGGTGAGGTTGATCCTCAAGGAGTTTGCAGCCATAGAATTCAGCCGAGCACCAGGTGGCAGAAATTCCTTGTGTTGCCTTTGTTTACTTTCAGATTTTAGGCGTGGGTGTTTGCCTTTACCCTTGTATGCGCACTACATGCATGCAGTGCCTGCAAAGGCCAGAAGAGGGAGTGCTGGCAGCAAAACCCCAATCACCTGCAAGAGCAGCAAGTGCTCTTCACAGCTGAGCCAGCTCTCCAGCCCCACCCACCGAATGTTTAAATACTGGGTGTTGTGAATTCTGAAGTTTACTGAAAAGGTCTGGCGTCTGTCTCTACAGTACTTTCCTAGCCCACTCTTCTCCGTGTTTAGAGATACTCACTCCTCAGGGAAACGATAACTGGAAACAGAAGAGCAACAGATAGAACCATTTTTGAGAGGCAGTACGATGCACCCCCTCTGCTGCCAGGGGAGTGAAGAAGGTTCAAGGCAGAAAATGAAGCAGAAGCCACAGAGCAGTCCTGCTTACTGTCTTGCTCTTCACAGTTTGTTCTGCCTGCTTTCTTAAATAACCCAGAACCACCAGCCCAGGTGTACACTGCCACCATGGGCTGGGCCATTCCACGTCAATCATTAATTAAGAAAATCCCCCATAGACTTGTCTCTAGGCAATCTGATCGAGGCACGTTCTCAACGGAGGTTCGTCTTCTCAGATAAGTCTAAATTGTGCTGTGCTGACAAAAACAAACAAACAAACAAACAAAACAAAAACAGGATATCTCCATTTACCGTCTTATGCCTATAAATAAGTGGGCATTCCTCTAATTGTAACTAAGTGCTTTATGGAGAGGCACATGTTCTGTACAAAGCTTGTATGTGACCTAATACGTCAGTCAAAGTGGAGAGCCACCCTCATTACGCCCCATATACGTAGGTCTTCATTCTCTTGATCCCCAGCCTGGAACAATAATCAGAGCCTTAACTGATCTCATTCATGTGGCTTCTGTCAGTCTTGGCAGTATTCCTCTAGAGTCTAAAACATGTACTGTTGCTTTGTTTCAAATAAAGTTACCAACTGCTTTGGCAAGCCCTGATTTCCCCCCCAAAAAAAAAAAAATTGGAGAAGGAGCCAAGAATTCAGGAAAGGGCCAGCCCAGACACCGACCACCAGTGACATCACCCACACCAGAAATTCGAGTCACGGCCCTCGGTGTGTTCAGTACTGCACAACCTTCACCACTGTTTCCAAAACATCATCTTTCTGAACAGAAACTCTGAACCCAGTAAGCAATAACTCACCACACCCACCCCCTCCACCCCCCGGAACCTCCTCTCATATTTCTGTTTTTGAATTTGGACTCAAGCGGTTGGAGCTGAAATCCTGTACAACCAGTCCCTCTGTCCTGCTCAGTTAGATTAGCTCTGTGTTTTGGTTGTCCGTCAGTGTTATTACAAGCTTCTAGAACTTCACTCCTTGCTGAGGCTGGATGATATTCCAGGGTCTGTATAAACCACATTTTAGTCTCCTTGCCCCTTGATGGACACTTGGTGTCATTTCTACTTCTTAGTTTCAATGTTGCAAAAGTGTTCCTTAGATTCAAGCCCCTGTAACCTGTGTTCAATTCCTGGTAAACACATCAGAACATGACAGCCTTTAAGCCTGGTGTCTGCCCATCTTTCTAGAATGTTCTTCTAATTTACTTGCCTGGAAAGGGCCTGGCTGTTTTCTACTTTTCACTGTAAGCAAATTGACTTTTTTTTTTCAGCTAAATTCTTCCTGTATCCCCCTAGACAGCCTCTGAGACCCTTCCTCTCTGTTCTCTGGCACTTGTCATGGTCCCGCAAGGAAGCAGTTCCTCATTTTTTGTTTGGTTGTTTGCATTTGCTGCTGTTATTTATTTATTTATTTTTATGTATTTACTTATTGCTTACATTCCCTGGGAGCTGTGACAAAAGTGAAGAGTTTGCTGCCACAGCTGTGGTGCAATCCAGACCATGTTTTCTGAACCGCAATGGTAGTAAAATGTCAATGCTCTCTGCCTCTGAGGCTGACAGAAACATCTGGAGACAAGAAGCTACTGTATGTAAGGCCCCTCTGCACAAAGTGGGGAATAGTTAGGGTTCCTGACTGCCTGAAGCAAGGCGAGCAGCTGACCTTTGAACTTTGTCTGAAACTGCTGTGTCTCGGTGAAAGGACTTTTGGTGTATTTTCAAGAGAGGGGGAGGAAGGCAGGGAGTCCGGTAATCAGCCCCGGAGGCTTGTGTCAGCCACCTCCAGTCTCTAATGAGCTTTGGTTCTTGAGACATGAAGAATTGCAAAACGCAGGTGATTGGAGTCTCACACAAGGTCCCTACTGAAAGGAGGAACCCATCAGCCTGTAACTGCCCATCAACCTTACAAAAAGCCACCGGTAAATCAGCTATGAGACAAGGGCTGGAGCAAGGATCTCTATTTCTTCTTCCTGAACCAGTTCATCAGCATGTCCACTGAACTGAGGCAAAAGGCATGAGGCAAAAGGCTTTAGAGACCTGAGCCCCGGAGGTCACAGCCTCTGTTAGCCTGTACCCTCTGCTGCAGGAGAGGCCCTGAGGACCCTAAAAGAGAGCCTTCCAGTGATGCCCAGAGCTGGTGGGAGACCAAACCTGAAGAGAGCAGAGCTGCTGACCCTTCACTGAAGCCCAGATGACAGGGGTCACTCCTCAGCTGGACTTTTAATCGCTGTTTACAAATCCCGCGCAGAACCTTGATTTTCTTAAACTGCAAGAACCCGTTCAACTACTGCACTAACAGCAACGATCCGTGTCTAAGATCTGGGATCTATTGTCTTGGTTTCTCCAAATTTAAGACTATCACTAAGACTAAAGTAATCAAGGGCCAATCCCTTCCGGGTCCCTGGGTGAAGTTTTTGCTTGCAGATTGGCCACAAGATTTGAAACACCCACGGGAGTATGGAAAGAGAGACATCCGTCTCCAGGTAGCCGGGGAAAACAGGGAGCTTCAGAGTTCCAGGTCCCCTGAGTTGGCTGGCAGAGAGTGAGGATCACTTTTTCCGTTTCTCACTACCCTTTCCCCAGCCTCCGTTTTCTAGTCTGGGAAAGAAGGGACTCGTGAGCGGACCCCGCTGACCTCCCCGCACCCACTCAGCCTAGGTGATGCTCCGCGCTCCGAGTACCTGTCGCGCAGGTGGCCGCAGCGCAGCCCCATGGCAGTGCACTCTGCCTCGCTCACCGACACCCCCTTGCAGGACTTGATCGGGTAGATCCAGAGCTGTGCCACTGTTCCCACCTGCTGTAGCCGCTGATGTCGCCTGGGACGCGCGTGACGCCAGGCCATGGTCCCCAGCGCCACAGTGGCCAGTCCCGCCGCCGCGGCGACGCCGAGCCAGGTGGACTGCAGCTGCCCGGGGACCCGGCCGAAACTGGCACCCATGGCTGGAGCGGGCTGAGCGAGCTGATACACCTCTAGCACAGACCAGACCAAGAGTTACTGTGGCAGGCGGCCGAGGCCTGAGCCCAAAGTCCAGCAGCTCCTGACCCTTCCCCTCCAATCCAAGCTCAGCATCTTCACTTGACCTGGGCGGGAGGTGGTGGCTCAGCTGTCCGGATTCTCACCAATTGTCCCTACCTACCGCTGTCTTCCCTCACCCTCCCTCCCTCTCTCCCTCCCTCCCTCGCAGACCCTCCCCCACGATCAAACAGTGCAGAACAGCTTATTTACATGTTTGCAGGATTGTTTATTTGACCTAAAACGCACAACGTTTGCAGAACATGGCATGATTTTGAAATGAGAAACCAGGCTGTGGGCAGCCGCCCCTCTGGGGACTGTGGGGAGCAGTTTGGCAGCAGCCAGGGAGCTTCCAGCCAGCTGGGATCTGAAGTGAAAAGATCTGACCAGGCCCTGAGGAGCTACAAGGCCAATCCAGGGCTGCTGCTATGCACAGAGGCTCAGACCTGGACTAGTATTTAGTCAAGCCCCACCCAACCATCCACTCTCTTTTTCCCTGCGTGGACTGGCACTGCCAGGTGTCTCTTCCAAATGCCACCTTATCTTGGACAACAAAGACAAGGTCAACAAGGTAGCTTGGGCTCCTTAGGCACTTGTTTGAAGTGTCCAGCTGTTTATTCAAAACTGTTCTAACAAGGAGAAAGTTATTTCTCTACTAAGATAAGGCAGAGAAATTAGACTTTGTACTAAAACTAGGGCTGGGGATTTTACAGCCAAGGGGCGGATGGCGGTTGGGGGGGGGGGTGGGAGGGTGAGGGGAGGGTGGAGGGTGAGGGGTAAACATGATTACAACAACCAAGGCAGGAATAAAGATTTCTATGAAGAGAAGCTTGTGCCCTTTCCCTCTGGCCATCAGACTATTGAAACAGTGGACCTAGAAACTGGGATCCCCACCACTCCACCCCAACCCCAAGTCTCAGGGAGAGAGAAGTTGGCTGGGAGCCTGGTGTCAGCCAGAGGGAGAGCCTGCCTCCCAGAAAGAGATTCCACACAGTGCTGACAAGGCTTCAGACCACCTTTCTTTCAGGAGAGACTGCAGCTGACACCCTACAGCTGACACACTGGCGGACCTGTGACCCGTAGGATCACACTCTGACCAGAGCTGTCCTGCTGATGGGCAGCATCCTGAAGCCGAGAGGGACAGTCCCCAAAGCTTGATGTTCACGTAATATGAAAATGCAAGAATGAGGTATCATGGAGACCAGCTGAGACCAGGCAATGTGCAGCCGAGCTGGACGCCCTGTGAGGGTGCCCTGAGAGGCTACTGTGTGAAGCGAGGGAGAAGCGGCATGCTAGCACACACTGGCCTCAGCTAGCTGGGTTTGGACATGAAATGTCACCCTCTAGCTCCCATGCTCCCAGCTGGTGGCACTATTTGGGGAGGCTGAAGTAAGTTATGAGGTGTAGCCTAGCTGGGGAGGAAGGAAGTCTCCTGAGGGTTGGCCCCTTCCTGCCCTTCTGCTTCCTTGGCTTATCAGATAAAGAATGTCCCCCCTGCTGCACACTCCTACACATGGGGCTCTGCCCACTGCAGCAGAGTGGCAACCACAGAGGACTTTAAACTGAGTATGACTTTAAAAAATTATCATTTCTAAAATTGACTTAGGACACAGCTTCTTATACCACATTTACCTCACAGCCTGATGGAGGTGAGAGGCCCAGAACCCAGTGAAGGAGAAGGCAGAAAGAGCAACAGCTGTCCCCCACTGATTATGAGATGTCTCTTGAAGTCATCAGCTATAATGCCTTAAACCAGCGGTTCTCAATCTCCTAACGCTGCAGCCTTGAATACAGTTCCTCCTGGGGTGGTGACTCCACCCATAAAATTATTTTCATTGCTACTTCATGCCTGTAACAGTGCTACTATTACGAATCGTAATATAAACACCTGATATGCAGGATATCTGATATGACAAGGAGCGTAACCCACACGTTGAGAACCATTGGCTTAGACAGTCATGAGCATTGCAACTCTAGGTGTCCTGTACACACCAGCGACCAGGTAAGGCTTGGAACCCAGGGAAGACACATGACGATGATTTTGTAAAACTAGAAAGAAGCAAATGTCTCAGAGGAAGTAGGAGAGATTCGCACTTATTAGTGACAAAGGAACCACACAGCTGTAAGTGAGCTAACTCAGTTCCATGTTTTACCTTAGTAGGTGTTTTTACTGTTACATAAGCTTGCTATGAAAAATAGATATGAGCCTTTAAAAACGAGTTCATGGTTTCTCCTTGTTCCTTCTTCTAAAGGTTCCATTCCTATAAGTTCCACTCTCTTGTAGAATTAGAAGAGTTCACAATTACAGATAAATTCTACCCATCTCAATAGAATCAGAATGAAACATAAAGACACAATCTATGAACAAAATAACCCCATGACCTGTGAAGTCATTTTGGTACATAAACATACTTCTATAACTGCAAGATAAACACAGTCATAAATGAAAACTCATAAGATATTCAGGACATGAGGAGTCCTCTTCCCATTTTTCTCAAACAACATACCTAGAAAAAGTATAAACATTTAAAAAAAACCAGCAGCTTTTGAGCTGTTTCTTTTAACTTTCTTTACTCAGCAATATTAAAGGCAGGAATTAGGAAGATATAATAGTGGGAGTAACATTCAGAGTAATTGTAGACACAATTCCATTTATTTTTTTTAAAACCTCATTACTTAAAATTTATACACCCTCACATTCCCAAACCACCTCTGACACTTTTCTTGAATTAACTCAGTTCCAAAGGAAAACTTGAGATCCGTTTCCAGGAAGATGGGCGTGAGGACTCGCAGATGTCTCTCCCAGGACCCGGAAGCTGAATAAATGAGAAGATTCTCTATTACATGGTTACTTGGACTGCAGGCTATAAATAATTCAAACTTGAACAAAACAGTCATGGACTAAAGTTAAAATTTGGGAAGTGTAAACTAGGAGCTGCGAACGCCTCCAACACAGAAAACAGCCGCTGGTGAAAATCGGCTCCCATCAGAGCCGTGAGGAGACATCTTTCTTACTTGATACTATTGGCTGTGGTCACATTGTGCTTTGTGCCCGCAAAGGCTCACATGGAGTGATATGAGAAGTGGTGTGACCTCTGAAAGGTTACCTCCTCAGACACATCAATACAATAGGACGCTGGTGAGGACTGTCCCTCTGGCTGTGTCTCCTCAGCTCCACTGTGCTAGGTCAGCTGGCAACAGGAGCCTTCCTGTTTAGCTTTAGGCAACTATCATCGTTCCCTCCACACATAAGGTTTTTTTTTAAAAGCATCTGAGCCAGGCGGTGGTGGTGTATGCCTTTAATCTCAGCACTCAGGAGGCAGAACAAAACAAAGAAACAAACAAAGGCATATGAATGAGCCAGCTCAGTGGTTTAAGAGCACTGGCTGTCCTTACAGAGGACATAGGTTCGACTCCCAGCACCCACATGGCCGCTTACAACTGTCTGGAGCTCCAATTCCAGAGGATCCAGGGCCCTCTTCTGACTTCCTCAGGCACTGCCACGCAGGTGGGACATATACACGTAAGGACAACATCCATACAGAGAAAATAATAAAATAATTTTTAAATTATTAAAGAATCAGAAGATGAGACAGTGTGGCCATGTTGCCAAGAGTCCAAGTTGAAAAAATAAAAGGAAATTTTTACCGTGTCAGCCCATGGGATCCATTAATCCACCATCCGATACACAGGGTCACCCACTCTCAGTCTTCCAATTCTTTCCACTGAGAAATACATCCCAAAAAGTGGAGCTGACTGGTATAAATTCTTCACAGAAGGATCACACAGGCGATAGCTGAAAAAAAATAAATAAATAAAACTCTGTCATCAGGCCCCAAAGGGAGACAGGAGTCTAGCATTACCCACAGAACTTGGAAGACTGCTCCTAAGGCTAACTAGGGGTCAACCACAAGCCCTTTCTAGAGGTGGACAGGAATGATTGTAAAGTAGCCAAATATTGTGGCTTTTCTAAAGCCAGGTGTAGTAGCACACACCTTTAATCCTAGTGCCCAGAAGGCAGAAGCAGGTAGATCTCTGAGTTCTAGGCCAGCCTGGCCTACTAAGTGAGTTCCAGGACAGCCAGGATTATATAGGAAAACCCATTCTCTCAAAAAAAAAAAAATGTGTGGGTTTGTGTAAGTACATGCAAATACTTTATTACTTAGGCACCTTGGACTTACAACTCATGGAAAAAATGCTCATGAAATCTCAGAATGGGGCCGGGCAGTGGTGGCGCACGCCTTTAATCCCAGCACTTGGGAGGCAGAGGCAGGTGGATTTCTGAGTTCGAGGCCAGCCTGGTCTACAGAGTGAGTTCCAGGAAAGCCCGGGCTATACAGAGAAACCCTGTCTCGAAAAAAAAAAAAAAAAAAAAAAAAAAAACAAAAAAAAAAGAAATCTCAGAATGGAACCAACCCCTCACCCACTGAGATGACTGGCTTTCAGTGTCAATGACACAACCTAGAACCACTTAGGAAAAGAGTCTCAATGAGAGACTCTCTACACTGGGTTGTCCTGCGGGCTGATGTGTGTAGACAGGCAAGTTCACTGGCCAGTGAGAGGCCTTGTCTCAAACATAAAATGAGGTGCATCCTGGGTGGGCAGAGCCACGGCAACTTGTGTATCATCACCTCCTGGCTGTCCCTGGTGCTGGCCCAGCCACTCAGCACTACTTTGTGTCCCTGCAGAAAGAGGCTCACACATCTTGTCTCTAACGACTGCACAGGTACCACTGTGCAGCTTTTCCTGCCAGTATGACATGCCTCTTTGACATTAGAGAGCGTTCCATAGGCCTTGAGCCTGGCCCAGGAAGCTCCCAGTCACCCAGCATTTTCTGAAGACCTCACCTCAGACAATCTGGACCAAATTAAGACTATTAGGACCACAGAATATGGATTTGGGTTAGAAATTGCTGACACGGATGCAGAGAAGTTAGTGCC